CCCAGAAAATGCTGACTTTTAATATGCCAAAGGTACAATTAAATATTGATGATTTCATAGCTATTACATTAGATATAATGAATATTCAGTAGGATGCTTTGAAAACATATGATTCAGCAATTTAGAACAATCAATCAAATTCATGGATTTAAAATAAGAATGGTATACTATGTAAGATTAATTTTTTAGTTGAAACATTAGAAAAAATGATCAAGTTTGAAATATCTTTGGAAAATTATGATTTAGAAATTTAGTTAAAACCAGATTAGAATGTCAAAGGTATAATTTTATCTTTATCAGTTTATAGCTCACACATTATTTAAAACGCCTACAACTCTAGAAACTGTAGAAAATTAACTTAATTAGTTATGCACTTTCCATTGAATATCACATATATTCAATTATATCTTATCATTTATACTGTTTTAATTTCCTACCTGTTGGCAAATACTTTAAATTGACATTATTTAGAAATGTTACTATGTCATTCTAGTTTAAAATTGAGTGCCAATTATGAAAATTTCTTTTTCTCTTTTTAAAATTCTTTGGTAAAACAATGCCATTCATATTTATACTAGTTTACATCTATTTCTTTTATATTTAGTCAAATTAAATAATTAGTTTTTTAAATTTCACATTCAAAACTATTATTTAACTTTTTATAAATCCCAATTATCAATTTAATTTCAGATGGGTTTTTAAAGGTTTTCTTACCCTAGTTGGTGTTCCTGAAACTTGAATTTCGTCTAACACATATATTTTTACTATGTTAATTCATTTGATATTTCCAGTCATTTTTCAGCATTGTCTTTGGGAAATAAAATAATAAAATGGCTAAAGAGATGTTTGGATGATAATATGAGTATATTATAAACTTAAAATTGAACATTCTTGAATTAAATTTGAAGAAGGATAATATTGTGGCAACTGAAATAATAAAGCAAATTTTTTATGTTGCTTACTTTATTATTCCTAATGCATGGTTCCTTAATCCTTTAGGGTTATTAACATTTTAAAATTTTTGCTCCTCTGCATTCAAAGTGAATTTGGGCTTTATGAGTAGTTTAGATTGAATTTGAATGTAATTCCGGAAGTTTATGTAAAAGAAACTGCTAAATTTGTGTGAAGTATTATAATATCACTTGGTTAATGAATCATAGAAGTCTTAATGAATATGAAACAGAATAATAACTATATTTTTAAGCATTCCTCATGATGTGCTTCTTTTTATTCACATTAGAGAGTTGCTAATATTGTTTTGAATTTTGATCTAAATCTGAAATTCTAAATGATATTCTCTTACGCAGGATGTTAATATTAGTTGCAAGTTATGTGCGAAAGATTATAAATTTGATTTTTCTCTTTGGAACTACTTAAAGAGCTTGTTCATTAAAGAATGGCATGACTTATCTGTTGTTACAAAAATAACAAGAGAGAAACAACTTAATCAATTTTTTAAATAATTTCAAAATTAAAGGGATAAAATTAATTGAATTCACGTCATTCAATTTTTTTTTGGTAATTATTATGATAAACTTATGAAGAGGTTATAGTCTTGAAAACTTTAGCAAGTCAATAAAATTTTCCTGAGTAAGGAGGTGAAATGTGGGCTTTACAAATTTAATTTAATTATT